GGGTGATGACCATCCCCGATCCCGCACCAGGCCTGGTGAGTTTACGGCGTTGAACCGATCCGCCGCGGAGGCCATGCAGTACGCCCAGTCCTGCAATCTCATCAAGCTCCCCCATCCCGGGCACGATGGTCCAGATAAGACGAAGCATTGTGCCTACCATCGGTGCGCCGGGCATGACACTGAAGAGTGCACCCACTTTAGACAATTGCTGGAAGACTTGCTCAGCCTTGGCAAGTTAGACAAGTGTGTGGGGAAGAGAGAAGAGGCAAAGAAGATCACCGATCGGAGAGATAACCATCGCTCTCATCACCACCGGTCCGATCGATCTGATCGGGAGGAGCGTTCCGATCGGGCGGGGTCAGAGAGGAGAGATGATCGCAGGGACGACCGAAGAGACCCTGACCCCCCATCAAGCAGCCGACCGGCAGGAAAGCCGACGATCCACGTCATTTTTGGTGGATTGGATGACGCTTCCCGGTCGAGAGAAAATTGCCCGGTCGCAATTGTGGATTCCCGAGACACCGGGAAGCGACAGAAGATGGAACCCATAACCTTCACCCTGGAGGATCAACCGAGCAGCGGTGACCATGGTATGGAGGCACTCGTGGTCACCATCGACGTCAAAGGCACCGACGTCAAGAGGGTTATGGTGGATACGGGCAGTAGTGTCAACGTCCTTTATTTGGACGTATTTGAGAAGCTAAAGTTGGACAAGCGCGAACTGACTCCGGTCGGCGTCCCCTTGTCCGTATTTACCGGGGCTCTTATTTACCCCGAAGGAAAAATAACACTGCCCGTTGAGATCGGCACTGCTCCGAAGTCGATCAAGACGGAGCTTGAGTTCGTTGTGGTCAACCTCCATTGCGTCCACAACATTATTTTGGGCCGACCCGCAATCATGAGGATCAGTGGGATAATTTCTATGCCGCACCTCTGCATGAAATTCCCCACCCCGAACGGGGTCGGCGTGGTCCGGGGCGATGTCCAATCCGCCCGGAAATGTTACACCCAGGCGGTCAATAGACGTGATACTGGCACGTCTTCCCGGGTGAACACCATAGTGAAGGAGGCCTCAGCCGAGCACAAAGAACAACCCGAGCCTTCTGAGGAAATTGAGGAAGTTCTCTTGTCCGAGGACCGACCAGACAGGAAGATAAAGATTGGTCGGGCTCTCACCCCTGAGCTACGAGCGGAAGTGTTGGCGATCCTCCGGGAGTTCGCTGATATATTTGCATGGGGGCCCGAGGATATGCCCGGGATTGACCAGACGGTCATCTGTCACAGACTAGCCGTTGATCCCGCGGCGAAGCCGGTCGTGCAAAAGACCAGGCATCTCTCATCCGATCGCCGCGAGTTCGTTCGCGAGGAGGTCAAGAAAATGGCGGTGATCGAGCACATCCGACCAGTAATCTACCCCGAGTGGGTGGCGAACATTGTTCTAGTTCCCAAGCCACCGGCGTGGAGGATGTGCATTGATTTTACTGATTTGAACAAGGCCTGCCCTCTCGACCCGTATCCTTTACCGAGCATCCACCAGATGGTCGATGAGACAGCAGGGGCAGAGTTGATAAGCTTCATGGATGCTTTCAAGGGTTATCATCAGATCATGATGCACCATGAAGACGAGAGTAAGACAGCCTTCGTCACCCCGGACGGGCTATATTGTTACCGAGTGATGCCGTTCGGCCTACGCAATGCGGGAGCAACATACCAGAGAATGGTGAATATGCTTTTTGCCGATCTTTTAGGCCGGACGATGGAAGCTTATATTGATGATATGCTGGTTAAGAGTCGGGACCGATCCGACCACACTCGGGATTTGAGGGAGTGCTTCCAGATCATGAGGAAGTACCAGTTGCGGCTGAACCCGACCAAATTCACATTTGCGGTTCAGACCGGGAAATTCCTCGGCCACATGATGACCAAGCGGTGAATCGAGCCCAACCCGGCCAAGGTCAAGGCCATACTGGACATGCAGCCACCTTCTACCGTTCGGGAAGTCCAGCAGTTGACCGGTCGGTTGGCAGCGCTCAGCCGGTTCCTCTCCAAACTAGCCGAGCGCGCTTTACCTTTCTTCAAGGTATTGCGAAAAGTGAACGGGTTCGTCTGGGACGAAGATTGCCGAGCGGCGTTTGATGAGCTAAAGGAATATTTGATGTCACCGATCGTGCTCTCAAAGCCTGAGCTCGGGGAAGAGTTAGACGTATACCTCGCCGTCTCCGATCGTGCAGTAAGCGCAGTATTGTGCCGAACCGATCCGGAAGGAGTTCAGCGACCGGTGTACTATGTAAGCCACGCGCTACATGGTCCCGAGCTCCGATACTCCCGGTTAGAGAAGGTCGTCTACGCTCTCTACATTGCAGCGAAGAAGTTGGCCCCGTATTTCCAGGGTCGACCGATTCGAGTTTTGACCGATCAGCCAATCGGTCCAGTCCTCCGCACCGCCTCTTCATCTGGTCGCCTAGTCAAGTGGGCGTTAATGCTGACCCAGTATGCCATAGAGTACCGTCCGAGACCAGCAATCAAGGGCCAAGCTCTAGCAGATTTTTTGGTCGAGTGCACCGCCCGGGATAACCAGCCGGCCGAGGTTGCGGATCCCAAGGCCGAGTGGTGGACGTTGGCTACTGATGGGTCGAGTTGCAAAAAGGGTGCGGGAGGAGGAGTCGTGGTTACGAGCCCGGAGGGTTTCAAAGTGTATTTCGCCCTGATGTATCAATTTCACCCGACCAACAATGAGGCCGAGTACGAAGCCTTTGTCAATGGCTTGCAATGTGCTCGGGACCTGGGGGCTGAATATTTGAGGGCTCAGACAGACTCCGCGCTCGTAGTCGGGCAGGTTCTCGGAGATTATGAAGTGAATGGCGAGCGTCTACAACAATACCGAGACCTAGCCATGGAGAAGCTAGCTTTGTTCCGCGGTTACACCATCCATCATATTCCCCGACTAGACAACGCAGATGCTGACATTCTGTCCAAGTTGGCTCAGGACGCCCCGGAACACATGTCGAAGATCGCTCGGATCTTGGTGATCCCTAAGCACAGCATACACCGATTGCCGGTCAATCCCATCCAACCGGCAGAAGACGATTGGATCACCGATCTGAAACAGTTCCTTGAGCACGGTCGGCTCCCAGACGACCCCCAGCGTGCTCGGAAGACCAAGCTTAGAGCCCCGAGGTTCCAAGTCTTTGAAGGACGTCTTTATAGACGGTCGTATGGAGGTCCGCTCATGCGTTGCTTGACCGCATTCGAGGCCGACCTCGTAATGAAAGAGTTACATTCCGGCATCTGTTCCTCACATCAAGGAGGCCGATCACTAGCCCGTCGGACCATGGTGATCGGGTACTACTGGCCGTCTATCCAGCTTGATTGTGATAAGCTCGCTCGGGATTGCGAGACGTGCCAGATGTTTGCACGGATGCCTGGACGACCGGCCACTTTCTACCAGCCTGTCACGACCGCCATCCCTTTTGCAAGGTGGGGGGTAGACATTTTGGGGCCTTTTCCCCAGTTAGCCGGTCGAAGAAAGTTCGTGATAGTCGCCATCGATTACTTCTCCAACCCATGTTCGGGAAAACCCATGTTCGATCGTCGGTGGCTTACCCGCAGGGAAACGGACAAGTGGAGAATGCCAATCGGACAATCTTGGAAGGTCTGAAGAAGAAGCTACACTCGGCAGGTCGTAGTTGGGCTAATGAATTGCCATATGTATTGTGGACCTACCGAACGACCCCGAGAGAAGCTACGCAGGAAACTCCGTTCTCCCTTGTTTATGGAGCAAAAGCTCGATTGCCGATCGAGGCTTGGATCCCGACCGCTCGAGAACGCACATTTAACGCTGAGGAGAATGAGCATTCAATGGTCGTGGACCTCGATGGGGTCGAGGAGAAGAGGGAGCTAACCGCTCGACGCATGGCGGAGTATCAGAAGCGTGTGAAGAGCTCCAAGGACGTTCGTGTTAATCCTCGGTATTTCCAAGTGGGAGATTATGTGCTCTGACGACGTGAGGCCAGTCAACCACTTGAAGGAGGGAAGCTCGCGCAAAATTGGGAAGGACCGTATGTTGTCCGGGCAGTCGTTCGGCCGGGAACTTACCGATTGGAAACAACAACCGGTCGGGGGATCGAGGGTACTTGGAATTCCGAGCACCTCGTCATGTTTAGACATTAATCTTTTTCATGTATTTTTTAACGGAGTGGGGGCTTAACCTGCGTGTTAGCCTCGTTCGTTATCTTTGTGGATATTGTAAATCTTTCAAACCGTCTGCGTACGGGAAATTATAATGTATATACGATCAGTGATTTCTCGACCGTTTGCACACGGCGGCCTGATCGGTTTTTTCACCTTTTGTGAGTTGTTACTCGTTCGGTCCCGTTCGCGTATCACCCGATCGAGACCGTACAGCAGCAACCCTGGGGGCTCTATGCTCCACAATGCCACTCCCTCAGTTTCACTGATAGGGGCACAAAAACAGGTTCTAATAACCTCCTAATAAGTGACTTTGTAAGCCATGCATTATCAGGTCGGGCGATATAATCGACTGCCCGATCGCGCTCCTCTTCGGCGGACATCCGGTCACGCCACCGATCGGGAAAGCTAGAGCTCACAGCACATTTTCCCGTTCCGTCCAACTTCTGTCCACTTTCGCACCCACTCGTACCTCGAGCGTACAAAAGTGTGGGGGCTGGGACTGAGGAAGTGTGAAAGGCCTAAGCAGTCGGGAATTCCCCGAGCGAAAGGGCCACTTTTTGCAAAATTTCGACAAGGCCGATTGATCTGGATTATCCCAAACCAATAGAGCCAGTCGAGAATATACGGCTAGGCCGTTAGGCCGTATGGTCGTGTTTGGAATTTGTTTGATGATCGAACATACATGCAAAGCGTTTAAAAAGCGTAAGCTATAAAATGAACGACCAGGTAAACTTGGACAAAAAGAACTTCATATTTAATTCGAGTAGTTTGCCCGGTACAAACTCGGGACCGGGCTCCCGAATGGTGCTAATACAAAAGGGAAGGAAAAAGGAGAAGGATTACAGTCTTCACTTCTTGGAGGCCTCGGCGTCGCTCGGGGCAGCAGCTTCTTTCCCGGCTGGTTCCACTTCAGTAGCAGCCCTGCTGGGCTCAACAATCTCCAGCTCGGGATCAAATGGATCCTGCCCAGGGTCAGGACCAGCTCTCGGGAGCGTGGTCAGCACTAGTTCGAGGTCTTCGCCCTCGAGCGCCTCCCGCATGTTTTTCTCCGTGCGGTCGCGCATATCCTTCTCCCCGGTGCTGTAGGCCCAATTGCCGAAGGTCCACACGATCTCATCTGCGATCACGTTCGACCGCATCTTCCGCATGAACTCCATGCCCGGGGCCACGTCCCGGAAAAAGTACTTGACTGCTTCGTCAGGGTTGCACGAACGGGCTTCCGACCCCTTAAGCCGCTCCCTCAGCTCCGTGATCTTCTTCAGCATGACCGCCCGCTCGGTCTCCCTTTTCTCGAGCGCGTCTTTGGCCCGCTTTAGCTCGAGCGCCTGCTCGGCGTTTTCCTTGAGCCTTCGATCGGCCAACTTCTTGTACCGATCGGCTTCGGTGGCCATTAGAGCTTGGCCATGAAGGATCGCCCCGATCCTGGAGAGCTGCATAGACAAAAGAATTTAGCACGGATGGTAACACTTTGAAGATATAAAGCAAAGAGAGGAGTGGTCGTACCTCGGTAAGACCGTATCCCAGCCGCTCGGCCAGCTGGGTCGAGCTCAGACTGGACAGCTCGGGACCGATCGGCGTCAGATTGCCGATCCGCGAGAGAATGGAAGCGTCGGCCATCCCGGAGCCGATCGTGGGATTCGGACTCTTTTCCGACCGTTGCCGTTTGTTTCCGGCCACATCTTGGGCCGATGTCTCGACCGGCCTGCTCGAGCTCGAGCCCTTCGACTTGCTGGTCACCCGAGTGACCAGGGTTTCCGAGGCGTCCACCACGCCCCCTTCCTCGGTCACCAGCGTGACCGGGTTGACTGGTCGTCCAACCGGGATCGACTCTTCCCCAGATGGGCCTGCTGAAGGCTTCTTCTTCCCCAGGGCGATCTTGGTTCGGGGAGGAGAGCTCGGGCGGACTATTCGCTTGGGCGCCATTTCTGCAAAAAAAAGAAGAAGTTGGTTAGAGCGGGTACGAGCCTAGTGATCGGGAAGTTAGAAGGGTTAGTAGGGTTAGACCTGCTGCCTTCCGTTTTCCCCGAGCAGGGGCTCTGGGCACCACTCCCATCGGGACCGGCTTGTACTTCTCTCTCAGCTCATACACCAGTTCGGGCAACCGGGCTGCTGCAAGGCTCTCCGCCGTCCGGAAGATCTTGTATTCATGAACCTCGCTCGAGGTTCTCATCACGGCCTCCCGGAGGAGTGGAGTCTCGTCCGGCACCACTTGTTTCCTGAAATGGGTACTCCATACCCTGTCGACCGGGAGAATCCATGGGTCATACTTGACCGAGAATATCCGGTTCTTCCAGCCCTTGTTGTTCCTGGGCAATCCGGAAATCGTGCATCGTCCTTCCCGGGACTGCATCATCAAAAACCCGCCTCCATAATTGTAACACCCCAGATTTTCAAGACATTTAAAACTTATATAATAAAGGTGACCTCACAATAAATCCCAAGCGTAACATAAGTATATGGGGTGCTATGCCACACCTGGGCTAGAGAACCCAAGTGCACAGGCAGTCTAGCTACTATCCTCCGAAATGTAAATGCATAACATGGCACGCAGGCCGAAAGGGAAACTACACTACGTCTATGTCCCAGCTCTAGCGCGCTCTAGTGCTCTAATCCTCGGTGCCTGAAAGCCAAATATATCTGTTCAGCGAGAGATGCTGGTAACCCACTCCAACGCGTTGAAATACAATACATATAGCAATATATATAGATATACGGAAACCATTTTGAGCATGAGAATATATCCTACGAACTCTAGCTTTAAAACCGGGAATGACTTGTTAGATGAGGCCAGACACAAGCAACAGTTATATCAGTCATAAGCAGTTCATCTTAGATAAGGCAAATAAGGCAAGCGTAAGCAGTAATCATAACCCATCATGAACAATCCCCAATATGAAACCCATAGTCACATCTCAAGGCACTCATGGTCACAACTCGTCCATATCACAACACATAACACACGTTGTTGGCGCTACAGGACCACTCGCATGCCCATACAAGCGGGTCAGCGCATATAGCTCTGACACGGCCCCACAGCACCATACCCCGTATCGCAACACGGGGAGGTCGATCGCAACCGACCGATGAACCGCAGCTCATCATAATGTTTGATCGCAACCAAACAGTGGACCGCAGCCCAAGAGAGTGTGTCATCTGACTGTAGCCAGGAATTCCCGTCTGACTACAGCCAGCCTCTGAACCGCAGCTCAGGAAATGTCATCTGATTGCAGCCAGGAATTCCCATCTGACCACAACCAGCTTCTGGACCGCAGCCCAGGATACCGTCATCCGACTGCAGCCAGGAATTCCCATCTGACTGTAGCCGGCTTCTGAACCGCAGCTCAGGGTAACCAATCCGATCGCAACCGAATTGGGGCAACACGCACACATAACACATAGCAAGCACATACAACCCACATTACACGTTGGGAAGGGGAATAGAACGTATAACGAAACCTAAGCGTGATCGATCACATACTAAGAATAGTCCTAAGGGGATCATACTTCTTCCTCCTAGGTCAACGGGATACCAATTCAACTAGCATGCAATACATTAGACCCATAGCCCTACGAACGGTACCCGAAATATCAAACTAGACATAGGCACGACAAACGGGGTCCGTTGGGACACCACGGGGATCGGGGAAACATCAAACGGGGTCCCGAGGGGGGGAAATTTCCAGCGGGTAGCAGGTGGGTGGGGGTCCACCCGCCGGCTGCCCGCCGACCAACACTGTTCCGGGCAGCGGGTGCCCGGCGGGCAACTGCCCGCCCGCCGGCTGCCCGCTGCCGGAACTGCCCGAAGTTGCCACGAGTAGGTGGCGGGTCCCCTACCCCCACCTACCCCCCACTGACTCTTTTCATCACTTTTCGCCCCGGGAACCGTTGTGGAACCCGAAACCATGCTTAGACACTTTGCAACGCAATTAACGATACACGTAGACAATTTACGGAACAAATACGAGAAACGAACGGCACATAACCTATCATGCTTTTCTAAACATAATCAACACCCAAACATGCGATTTCCCACCCGATAATCCAAGAATCAAAGCTCACCATACAACCTAGGGTTATAATCGTTTTTATATCAACAAGAAATACGATTCGCCTTCTAATTACAAGATTTGGTAAGAATAATATATGAGCATCAAGCGTAACACACAATTATCAAGAACAACACATAATTATCAAGAATCCCAATTAATCATCAATAACATCATAATTATCAAGAATCCCAATTAATTATCAAGAACATCATTATTAAGAAACTCCCAATATCAAGATTATCAAGATTATAGAATCATTATATCGACATCAATACCAATCACCCAAAATCGCCATTCACAATAGTATGGGGGGAAACCCTAAGGGGAAAATCATAGCTATGAAAATAGGTTTTGTTGAGACATGGGTTACCTCTTAGCCTTAATTAATTCCTTGGCTATGAAGGATCTTTCTTTAAGCTTTCTTGATTTCTTGATTTCTCCTATGGGAATCCTTGGAGCTCTTTGGGTGGTGAGAGATTATTGTGGTGGGGCTTCTAAATGCCTTCTGAGTTCCCTATTTATATGCCATGGGGTTTAATCCTTCTAGGATTAGGTAATGGGCTTTAGGGATGGGGGTCCACGGACTATGGTGGGCCTTTTTCCCAACTTAATCATAATAAATTATTCTTTCTTATGGGTCCTAGATTAATTAATTACTTGGTCTTAGGGGCCGTAACACGGGGTGTTACAATAATTTCCCGAGAGGACCTTCACCTGGTAGATATAATTAAAAAGCTCCATCGAGCACGCCACCTGGTGCTGAGCGCAAATCTGGGTGAAGCAGGCGAGAATACGGTGCGCGTTCGGGCAAATTTGAGCCGGCACCACCCGGTAATAGCCCAAGAACGCGGTCAGGATCGCGGGAAAGGGAAACTCGATCGGAGCCATTAGGGAGTCGTAGTGCATCCCGATCCACTTGCCTTGGTGCCGGTCGATCACGTTCCCGAGCCGCCTGCTCGTGTCGAACTCTACCCGGCCTCTTAGCCTTTCCGCAATCCGTGCAGCCTCCCCTTTGGTGAGGTCACTCATCTCTTCCGCGACGCTGTCGCTATTGAGGAACTGGAAGCCGTCTTCATCCTCCCCGGCCGCTGGCTCGGCCATCTCATCCTCGACCGGCTCATTACGCGGTCGGGTGACTGTATCCGGGTGATCCCCTATCACCCCGGTAGGTGTTTCCCTAACACCCCCGCTCGGGAGACCTCGTCCACTCGTGGAGGTCTCTTCGCTGCCCGAGCTTTCAGAACCACTTGAGCTGGATCCTGACGATCCGCTCGTCCTTGTTGGTTCCTGTGCAGTAGAGGCCCGTTCGGGGGCTTTGCTAGGTCGTTGCTCGACCTCAGGAGAATAAGACATGATGTCTATCTCCTCTTCACTATAGCGCTCGACATCTTGATCGTAGTCACCGATCGACGCGTTTTGGCTATCTGAGCTTGACATCTTGACTACCTAGGGGTGGTCGGGGTTAGTTAAAGGCTCGGGGACGTTAGGTCGAGGTTACCTAGTTCCTATTTACCTAATGCTACGGCAAAAAAGGAAATGTGAGAAAAGGGAACTAGAAAACTTACCGAGTGAGTAGACTTTGCTTGTGGAAGCTTGAAATTCCTTGCTCGACCGATCTGCTGTAGAGAGTGCTCGGGATCCTCTGAGAGTACCGATCACTTCAGTAGATTGGAGAAAGTTCAAATGAAGTTCTCAAAGGCCTATTTATAGGAGGAGATTTGGGCGGGAAACTAATCATCACGCCTGACGTGACCGTTCCTGAACCCGAGGCGACGGTTGCACTTCCTAAGGCGCGCATAGCTCAACACGTGGCGAGAGGGAATGACAGCTGTCCGGTCGGGTCATCGACGGGCGCTTGAACTTCTCCATCCCGTCCCATTTTTCCCGAGCAGTCAAAAAGGCACGGGCTGGGGGGCTCTTGGTAGGGAATACCCCGACCGACATGCCTCGGGTCTCTTTCTTGCTTGTTTTGCAGGTTACAGGTCGGATCTTTTTGTAGAAGAACCCGGTCGGTACCCGACCGGTAATGCCCGACCAGAAGTGTCAACCACCGAGTGGTAGCCCTTAGGCGTGAGTGCTGACTAAAGACACGTGGCAGCACCAGGCGACGACAGACGGGGCACCCGAGCGGATGACACGTGGCTGCTACGTGGGAAGCATGCCGACCAGCCGGATTCTTGTCCCAGGCTCCGCGGCTATAAATACCCACCGGCGCTACAGTGTAAAGGACTTTTTTGGACGATCGATAGGTTGTACTCAGAGACTCCCGACCGCACCCAGTCGGTACTCGTTGCAACCAAGTAGATTGTACTTAGGGACTTTACCGGATTAATAAAAGACTTTATTTGCTTTAATTGATCTGGACTTTATTGATCGTAAGTGCTCACGTGGTATTTACATTATCACCTTTGTTGATGCTTGATTGAGGCTATTGATGCGCCTCAATCTTCTTGATGATGATGACTATGTGTGACTATGATGAGATTGGTACGTGGTTTGTGACTTGAGCTTTGCTCACATGAGATCGGTGGTATACGACTATGAATTGAACAGTACCCTCGTGTCCTTGAGATCGGTGGTATTCTGATTGGTGGGGGACGACGGCCCCAGATCGGGAAAAGGTTGGACTCAGAAGTACATGGTGGCACTCGGAGGTACAGGTTGGAACTGTGATAAGGCCGGGGTAGCCATAAGGGTGATACTAAGGTATAAGGTTGGAACTTGAAACATGAATGTGTCATTTTGTGATTGTATGATTCCCTTGCTTATGAGCATGTGTTTGATGAACTCTACCTTGTGAATGGTAGGTTGTATCTAGAGTTATGTTGTCCCTTGTTGTTGTGGTTTGTTGTCTTGTTGAGGTTGATGATCCTCGTTCTTGTTGAGAGTGTGATGAGTCTTTGATGTTGATCTTCCTCTCTCAGATTTAGAATGATATATACTGTATTCCTCAGTTCCAAATGGCTTTGATTATATCTATTTATACTATGCTATTTAACGCGTATTGATGGGTTACCAGCATTATTCGTTGACCAGGTGTTATCCTTATGTTTTACAGGTCTTGAGTAGATTACGAGCGCGCTAGATGTGGACTCTAGATAGTGTAGCTCCTGTGTTTAGATGTTTGTCTTTCGTTGGCCTGTGTGCCTAGATTGATGTTTTGTCTTAGTGATTGTGATAGATTTAGCCTGTGCACCCATGGTTTATGGGTGTGGCATAACACCTTTCCCGGTTTTAATAGTTTCCGCTTTTGATTGCCTTAATGATTAGTTGTTTAACGTTTGAATTTAAGTTTTAAATTGTTGGTAAATCGGGGGTGTTACATGTTCCATATAGATTTCCTCATCTAATTTGTCATTTAAGAAAGCGGTTTTAACGTCCATTTGATGAACATCCAAGTTCCGCAGCGCGGCTATGGAAAGTATCATCCTAATGGAGTTTATTCTCATCACGGGAGAATACGTGTCAAAGTAATCAATGCCCTCGTGTTGCCTGTAACCCTTTATTACAAGCCTAGCCTTATACTTCTCGATGGAACCATCAGGTTTCATCTTCCTTTTGAAGAGCCACTTGGATCTTAAGGGTTTACTGCCCGGAGGAAGATCAACAACTTCCCAAGTGTGATTCTGTAAAATAGAATCCACTTCACTCTTTATAGCCTCTTTCCACATTGGTCCTTCCGTAGAAGTCACAGCTTCTACGTACGTTCGAGGCTCGTTCTCTATCAAACAAGATAGAAAATCGGGTTCGTTTTCTAATAAACAAGTTAGACTACCCGAATCATACTCTAACAAGTAAGTTAGAAAATCAGGACCGAATGATTTTTCAACTCTTGCCCGCTTACTGCGTCTCGGCTCGAGCTCGGGTTCTTTCTCAGATTCCCCACTGTCATTATCCATAGTTTCGTCAAATGTCCATTTTGACGTACTCGGTCCCTCGTTGGACCTACAAGAAAATACATTTCCAAAGAAATATGCATTTCTTAATTCTATTATCGTGTTCTCATGTATGTCCGGATTATGGGACTCGTGTACTAAGAACCGATAAGCACTACTATTATGTGCATAGCCAATAAAGATATAGTCCACGGTCTTAGGACCTATCTTTATTTTCTTGGGTGTTGGCACCAAAACTTTGGCAAGACACCCCCACACTTTCATGTACTAGTAGGGAGTTTCCTACCGTTCCACAGCTCATAAGGAGTCTTATCGAGCTTCTTGTGGGGTACCTTATTCAAAAGGTAATTACTTGTCAAAATCGCCTCACCCCACATACCTTGAGATAGGCCTGAACTTATAAGCATCGCATTCATCATATCTTTCAATGTACGATTCTTTCGTTCGGCAACACCGTTCGATTGAGGTGCGTAAAGTGTCGTACGCTCGTGTATGATACCTACACTAGCACAGAAGTCACCAATAGGTACTTCGTACTCACCACCTCGGTCACTTCTAACCTTCTTAATTCTCCGATTAAGTTGGTTTTCTACTTCATTCTAATAAAGAATGAATTTATCAACGGCTTCATCTTTGCTCTTAAGCAAATACACATAGCAGTATCGTGTGCTATCGTCGATAACTGTGATAAAATACTTATTACCACCTCTCGTTTGTAGCGATCTAAAATCGCACAAATCACTATGGACTAATTCAAGTGGTTCAGTTTCCCTTTCAACCGATTTGAAAGATACTTTCGTTAGTTTTGCCTCAACACAAATTTCACATTTGTTATTTGTGTTAATTTGAAAGTTAGGAATATAGTCCATGCTAATTAATCTACGTATAGAATTAAAATTAACATGACCTAGTCTACCATGCCACAAATTGGAAGACTCAAACAAGTAAACAGAATTAACTTTGCTTTTATTGATAACAGGAATTACACTGAGCTTAAAAAGCCCATCAGTTACATATCCTTTACCAACAAACATTCCTAACTTAGACAAAACAACCTTGTCTAACTCGAACACCATGCGAAACCCATGCTTATTCACCAGCGAGCCAGACACAAGATTCTTCCTCAGCTCAGGAACATACAGTACCTTCCCGGAAGTCATCTTCAGAACGACTTTGCCCATGCCTTCCACAGCAGACTGAGCAGAGTTTTCCATCCACACCTTTTCACCCTCAACGGTCTCAAAGGTGTTGAACATCTCTCGGTTGCAACACAGATGCCTGGTTGCACCGGTATCGATGAACCACTCACATGGGTTAGAGCCCACGAGGTTCACCTCGGTCACCATAGCCGAAAGGCTAATCTCGACCTCCTTCTGACTGCTATCTCAACAACATTGGCTTCAGAACACTTGTTCTTCTTCCTTGGAGCCTTGCATTCGGACGCTCTGTGGCCAGACCTGCCACAATTGTAGCATGCACCAAGAAACTTGTTCTTGGTCACACCACCTTTCGGACCTAGCTTTCGCTTGTCCTTCTTGTTCCTCTTGGAGTTTTTACCGTGCTCCACAACGTTGGCTTTAGCGCCATCAATGACAGGAGCTTTCCTATCATTCTTCATGTTCCCCTCCTCAATTCTGAGTCGCTAGAACAGGTCCTCCAGGTTCATCTCCTTTCGCTTATGCTTAAGGTAGTTCTTGGAGTCCTTCCAACCTGGAGGCAACAAGTGGATCACAGATCCCACTTGGAAGGCTTCACTTAGCACCATGCCCTCGTCACGGATCTCGTCGAAGATTAATTGCAAATCTTCTACCTGACTCGGCACGGTCTTGGAATCAACCATTTTGAAGTCGAGGAATTGGCCAACCACAAATTTCTTTGCGCCGGCATCCTCACTTCTATACTTATGATCCAAGGCTTCCCACAATGCTTTCGATGTGCTTATCTTTCGATACACATCATATAACGTATCACACAATCCGTTTAGGATGTAGTTTCGGCAAAGGAAGTCTGAATCCTTCCAATAGCCAACCGCCATCACGGACTGAGCATCTTGTTCCTTCAACTCAGGAACACTCTCGGTCAAGAACCTTGCCAAGCCGAGAGTTGCTAGGTAGAACAACATCTTTTGTTTCCACCTCTTGAAGTTCGATTCGACACCGGTGAACTTCTCCGGTCTTTTGGCCGAACCACTCGGTACCGAAGGTACCCGAGACATGGGAATATATCCCTTAGTGCTCCCACCATCTTGTGAACTAACGTTCACTGATGTAGCTTGGGAATTAGCAACATTGTTGCCGTTTCCTCCATTGTTGTCCACAACAACATTTTCCTCCCCATTGATTGGCAGTACGTGATGCTCCATTTTCTTCAAGGAAATTCAGTGAAGACCACCAACGGGAAAACGAAGATATAAGGTTTTAAGACTGTTGGAAATTCCGTTGGTGAAAACAAATAATAATCCTATAAAATAAGATTATTATTTTCTGTAGGAAGAGGGAAGGAAAGATGAAGAGATTGGCTAGTGTTTGGTGTTGGGTTTTT